TTCAACAAGTTTTTCAACGTGTTCAAATGTCTGCACGGCCACGCCCGCTATACTTATGGGAAACGCCTATATAAGGATGCCATTACTGTGAGGATATGACATTTTTTGATTTACTTTTGTTCTTCACCCTGTTCAAACCTAATACTGACTTATTTTGGAGAACTTGCTTGTTGATTACGACCCTGCTCCCCTATCCACACCTTATTACGCCCTCCGAGGTCGGGCATGCCTAACCCCACTCTTAACCCTGCTTACACCTCTAGTGAAAAGAAAAGATAGAAGTTCGGGATGCTCGAATACTACTGATTACAACTGGTTTGAAAAGAATTGCTAAGATCGCAAAACCGTTGGCTAACCTTACAAAATGTCCAGCTTGAACATCCGTTATGGAGCGCAACTGAAAAACTTTTCTAACTTTTCTCTATTTAAAGATGCCGAACCATCAATCGAAGTTTACTTTTTGGAAAGTTATTGAATTCTGTTTGAATTACACAACTTTTGCGCCAACCTAATATAAACAATATCAGAAACAAATACATCACATATGAAAGCATATGCAACTGAAGCAAAGGTCTCACAAGCCGTAAGGAAAGCAAATATCCGCAAATAAGCTCTACATCCTCTGCTATAACTTCTCTCTTTTGATTTAGCCTCGCCTTTTTTTGGCAATATACAGACTGTGATGCAAGCTAAAGGCTGCGCAAAAACTCGCTCTTGCATAACATATGGGCTATTTCCTCAAAAACTGCTGAAAATTGAGGTTTTCCGGTTTCTAAGCAGAAGCCGTGAAAAACCTGAAACAAATACATCAAGACGAAACTGTAGGAAGCATGGTCCCAGAAATGGAATTATCATTTAGTATGATAGCTATGAAATGTGAAGACAAATTAGAATTTGTCGTCTATGAGAAGTTGATTGAGTCGAATGCGTTGAATTTGGAGGAGCAAGTATCAGTAACTCAGTTGCGGAACCTCAATTAATGCCACGAATTTGCAACTCGAGCTGAACACGAACATCAAATTCGTTTGTTGCTAAGGTAGAAAATACATCCAAACGTTACGAAAGAGGATGCTATCACATGCGGAATGAATATCATTTCTGTATCAACACGTTGAATAATCTCATAAACCATGTTTCAGCAAGCAACCTGGAATTTTCGTCATGATACCGAACTTGCCGTCACCCGTTGCGATGGCGAAATCAGGAGAAAATGGCTCAATCTTTTGGATGTATCCTAATCTTTACAATATCAAAAAATGAATGTGCCACATTCAAAAAGACAGACACTATATTGAAAGTTGCATTGATTAAGTGCCCATGTAATTATTAGGCGGAAAACTAAGTTTTGCAACTACTTTCATAACTCAACCCTCTTTGAATGTGGCGCACTCAAACTTGGCAGTATGTAGAGAGTGGTGTGAGCTACAATTTACCAAAACCGTTTGAATTTTGAAAACGAGTTAGAAAAATTCCAGGCATTTTTCGAAAACTAGTGAATTTTGAGAATTTTTGGGGTTTTAAGGCAAAATGAGTTGTTGGCAGTCTAGATCATGCGCAATAATACGGAATCGTGTACTAATTGTTGCTAGAGGTTGAATTATTCGGCTCAACAAAAAGAAACAAAATTCACGGGCAGGTCGAGATTTGGCGCCCTCACAGTTTCGAAAGAGTTGTTGTGCGCAAGACTTCTGAGGACAACCGTCAATGACCTAAGGAGTTAGACCCACAATCTCCAGAGACTTTACATACTAAGGTTCTTTGACGTGCTAAACACGAATATCATATTCATTTGTTGAATCAGCGCCTTTCTCCTTGTTCAGGATGGGATCCTATATTGCATACCTACAAAAATCTTACAAAAAAGCCCCTATCACGCGCGTTTAGTATCATTTTCGTGATCAGGATGTCGAATAACTCCCCTGTGCCAAGTTTCAGCCAAACTGTCGAATTTTATAATTTTTCCCTTCATATCATATACCTACCGTAACCCTCACTGCGACGTCAGAATTTGGTAGAACGGCAGCTGCGCTTGTAGCTTACGTCATAGCCATACAGTGGCAAAATTTGAGTGCGTCATGTTGAGTGAGAAGAAAATAATTGAGTGAGTTGCAAAATTTAGTTTCCAACTTAATATATCAGGTCATTCCGAAAGTAATGTCGCTTTTTTCAAATAAACGCCACAACTCTCAAACAAAGATTTTGAAAAGACCTTTGTTAGCAGCATTCGATGCAGTATTTCATTCTCTTACGATGGTCATGAAGTTATTGCAACAGAGTCAATGAGCTCTCGGATTACCTAAATCTGCCACTTATTTTTTTAGAATGGGCAAGTTTCACAGCATTTCTAAATCTTGAAATCAATCCTCCGAAGGAGTCCGAGTAACGGAGAGCTTGCCATGATCTTTTGATAGAATTTCATCTGATGTATCAGTTTCCATGCTTGGTCTCAAACCTCATAGAACATCAGCCGGCGAGCAAATCGGGTATCATTTGATGCAGCTTTTTTCCTCACCACTTTTTCACCTGGTCTAGATTATCTTCTTGGGATTAACTTGCACTAAACAGCCAGTTTTCACACATAACCGGTATGCGAACTTTTGACCCGGTTTGCTCGGAGCTACTGTATAATCCAGATTGCTGGGCACTAAAAGAGTGGCTCTAATTTGTAGCTTGATTTTCGCACTTTTGGTCACAATGTGCTTGTCGCCGTTCTTAGGTTCTGCGTTATAACAAGAACCTAGGAAACTAGTGCAGTGAACTATGTGCGCCCTGTCATCATTCTTGGAGCACCGAAAGACCGCGCCAGTGAGGAGCTTGTTACCAGAAATCCAGATCGCTTCAGCAGCTGCATTCCTCGTAAGTTACACATGTCATAATTTTCACTTACACTTGTTCATGACTTAAGGTGTAATAAGGTTTTGACGTTTTTCGAATACAGGTGGGAACAGTTTTGCGTTCTTGTACATCATTTATGGCAATTCGTGTGGAAGTTTAATGTATTTTGCGTGTAATATCTGGGTATTTGCACATCTGTCACATGCTGCGCGCAGGCCATGACATAGCTTTCTATAAATGACATTTTCTAGTCAAAAGCACCGCCATCTCAAATTAACAATGGTGAGATTCTGATGCTGTATAATAGCGGGCTTCTAGCTAATCAGTCGCACAAGTCTTGCTGGAAAAGATGAATTCCGAGCACAGAAAATCGCCATAGAGAATAGGAGCGGGGGTGGAGCTCCGCCTTTAACATGGGACTGAAGATACATGTTCAGGAATGGGTTCGAATATGTCAAAAAATTCCGAAAGTCAATTTTAAACGTTATCTTCCGACCACCACGTTGATGGGCGGAGCGACCACTACCGCCTCTATATTCTGGGGCGATTTTGTTCTCTCGAAATTTATCTTTTGCAGCGCGAATTGGGCGATTGGTTAGTTAGGAATTCCGGTATCACAGAATATCAAAATCCCAACACCCTCAATTTGTGTGACCGGTTCCTTCAAGCATAACGTGACTTAGTTCCCATAAACGACGCCATTTCTCATTCAAGTATGTCACGATTTTTTTCTCGTGTCATTGCCCTCTACAAAGATCCTCGTTTTGAGTAATCAAATTTTAGACACTTCACACCCACCACGTGAGCATGAAGTAGATGGCAAAGACTATCACTTTGTCAGCAAAGCTGAAATGGAACGCGAGTCAAGAACAATCTCTTCAGTGAAGCTGGACAGTTCCAGAACAACCTCTATTGAACCAGTATCGATAGTATGAGAATGGTTGCTTAGCAGGTAAGCTACTCTTGATTATTTGTTCACTTCAGAAAATAATCGTAATTGTTCCGCCGTCACTGCACCCTGGATGTAAGCGGAAATGCAATCCGACGTCTGCAGTCAGTTGCTAATATCTATCCGATTGCGATATTCATCAAGCCAACCAGGTAACGTCATATAATGTAAGAAAAGCTATTATCTCGCGTTATGCCCTTGAGTCTAAAGTCGTCGAATGATTGCTAATAAACTGTAGGCAAATGGATCATTCACTGAACGAGGACGAGGCCATGCAACAATTCCAACGATGTCAGCGATTAGAGCAAACGTTTGGAGATTTATTCACACGTGAGTGCATTGTAATCCACTTTTTAGTTTAGAGATGAGTTTTGAAGAATACTGATATTAATTGAGAAAGAAAAATAGTAAGAAGAAGACATAGGTTTTGAATATGCAGATAAGATAACATGATAAAGATATAACCTTATATTGGAGGAAATTTGTAAAATTACTTCCACTTAGGTGTAACAATGCACTTTCTTGTAATTTTTGAACTATCTTTTGTATTGAGTTTGTGCAAAAGTTCTGTCGCACCATTTTTGAAAAATCATAATGTCTTGCCCACTCTACAGATTTGCACAAACTTAACATCACCAATTAGAGGAAATTATGTTCTTTATCTTTGCTTTGCTTTAACAAGGTTTGACTTTTGAGATAGAATCAGAATAAAATCACTTCAGCTTCGGTCCTTTCAGTTAGGCTGCAAAAAATCTGAAACTTGCGGTAAAATTTAGGGCAAGCAGTAAAGTAAGTCTTCTGATCTACTCTCAGCTGTAGTTCGTATTAATCGAGCACCTTTTTGAAGAGTTTTGATTTTTGCAAAAAATGTCAAAAAACCGAGATTGCTATTTGTATGGCTTACCCAAAATATCTTACTCAAAACCCTTCACGGAGATTTTTATTCATCACAAACTCTGCACATTTGGAAAAAGGCAGGGGTCAAAAAGATTACTTTACTGCTTGCTCGGAGTCTTATCGCATTTAGTTTTTTATTAGCCAGCTTAAAAATGACCGGAGCAGAAGTGACCCCCGTTAGAGAGCAAAGGCACTGTCGCAAATATATGACTCTTATAAAATTAAGTTTTTGCAAATCATTGAGAAAGCAAGAAGTTATGATTTTCCAAAAATGGTGCGTCATTTTGCACCAGCCACTAATATTCCATCATTATTTTAGATGTCGTCTCGCATGCGCAATCCGCTGAAGAAGTCATCAGTCGCGTGCAGCACCTCATCGCTGCCGAGGGACGACCGTACGTTTGGGTGCCAAATAACAATAGGCAGATTTAATTTTAGCAAAACAGAATTTGTTCAATTCTTTGGACCACAGTATAGTTACCCTATATCTCGCGCTTCCTACCACTGTCATTTTTCATGCATTTTCTCTCTGTTTTTCTATCAGAAGCCTCTTCGTATATGGTTCGGACTGAGTATCATTCGTTTTGTTTTGTGTCCGTCTTTCGACGCTGGTGCGTCTGTGTCTCATCCGTAAATGATGTCGAACCATTCGTCGACGCTTTTTTCTCCTATATTTACACTGATTTTCTTTGCAATGCCCCTCTATCAAACTCCTCTTCCATTGTTTTCTTCCTTAGACCGAGTATATTTCACTTACGTCGGCTCACTGCTTATGTAGCGATTATTTGTGATTTATTCACTGTTTATCTGTGATTATCATTATGTTTATTATTGTATCGTTGAATGTATCGAGAAGTTCTATACAAATCAATCAGCGCACACATATTTGAGCCGTGAAGTGTTATAAGCGCATTTTCATTGGGTTGTGACCTTTACTTAACATTATACATCTCATGACGTTTCGTTATCTATGTGCGTGGAAACATGCGTCTTTAGCTCAACATCTTAAACGCAGCATGAAGTTTTCATATCTATCAATAAATTTATTCATATGCTATGTTATTACAAACAAAAACATTGGTAAAAAGAAAATTATAAGCGAAGTGGCACTAGATACACGCTAGGGCGAAAAAAAAAACCGGAACAGCAACCTAGTAGGCAATTGACGCATGGGACACGATATCTTTGATTTAAAATCTTCGTCCTTGATTTTATGTAAAAACTGGATTAAAGAGTGTTGGAACATTTTGCTAGATTCTTGTGAACTTTAAGGGATTAGTGTTTGAAAACCCTATCAACTTGTGCCGGCCCTGCTTTATAACATTGAAGGGCCAAATGCTATAATGTCATACGTGATGGATGTTCTCGGAGCAGGATACTCTAAGCTTTGTCACCAATAATGTGAGTAAGAGTATTCAACGACATTTATTCTTTGCATTAACTCAGACAGTCGAATGCCTAGCGTCGGAGGGCCGTGGAATTCTCCTCAGCCTCGTCTTCGGGAGATTTTCTTATAAGACTCCTCCGAGGAATCCACCGCAGAAGAATCAGATCTATCGCGCAACTTTTGCACGCAAGTTTTGATGCATTTTTTGAGTTCTTCTTCGGTCGGGAGCACACGAGTGCCTGCGAAATTAGCCAAGCAGCGTTTCTTGCACTGTAGAAAAGTGCTTTATTTATACGACGACTTGCTGCTGTTGGGGTGGTTAGAAAATAATGGCACTGGTTTTTCCTATTTTGAAATTTGTATGATTCAACACACCAGGCAGCGCTACAAATGCCACATAGCGAATCTAGCCTATCACTGAAGTACATCGTGCTCTCTTAGGCTCAAGGCATACTTCACGAGATTTTAGTCGCCACGCAATTTGCAGTGTGCCAGATATCTTCAAATTCAATACTGGTAGATCCGAAAGGAACAGCACGTATAACTTTTCTAGATGGATAAGATGCTTTATCTTCCGCACATTCAGAAACCCCCTACGATGAGTTATGAACTATTGGAGTATTGCCGAATCGCGTCGCGATTGAAATCGCGTGAGGTATGCTTTCGGTCTAACAGCTCTTGATTGGAGTTTTTTAGCTAAAGATTTTTTGACAAACTTGCTGAGGAAGTGAAAATCTTATATATAAAGCTGAATGTCTGTTTGTCTGTATGTCTGTCTGTATGTCTGTCTGTCTGTCTGTCTGTACGTATGTTCCGAATAGAAAATTCCATTTCTCAACCGATCGGGACCAAACTCGGCACACATACACTTTGGGCCCCGGCGGGTGTCATAGGCTACTTTTCGTCATCGATCGATATCGATTTTATCGATTTTTTGCAAAATTTGAGCTACGGGGCTGGGAGTTGGCACAGGGGGGTAATCGAGCATGCTGATCACCCCCGTGGGGGTGATCAGCATGCTCGATTACACCCCCCCCCCTGCCAAATTCCAGCCCCTAGCTCAAATTTTGCAAAAATCGATAAAATCGACATCGATCGATAGCGAAAAGTGGACTGTGACACCCGCCGGGGCCCGAAGTGTATGTGTGTCAAGTTTGGTCCGGATCGGTTAAGAAATGGAATTTTCTATTTGGAACATACGGCGGAGCCGGGTAAGCCAGCTAGTCAGTTATAATCTTTGCACCGCTTTCAAGCAATTTCGCATACGGACGGGAGACCTGTTCTTGAAGACTTGTTTGTTTTCTTTTATTTTCCCATCCATAATAAACGGCTACTGATGATTTGTTTTGAAGTGTAAATCTAACTTAAAGCCAAATTTACAGAGTGGTAGTAAGGAGCGGCGATTGTCAATTGAGCAAGATGGATATGAAGCTGATTAGTGCAAGCGTATTACTGCGCCACCCGTATATGCAGATCATTGTAGGTTTTGACAATGCCGAAATTATAGCATGTGATTAGCTTTGTGAGCTGCGGTCGCTCTTGTGTGTACCTCTTGTTTCTCCTTAGCTTCAGAGTCTTTGGAGGGCTTAGGCCGTATGAATAATTTTTTGAAGCACTCCCAAAGTGGAAGACATGCAAAAGTCAATTGATTCAGGATTAGGAAGACGAATAATTTATAGGACATTTGCCTCTGAAATAAGTTTTATCATAACTTCACAATAAACCATTTTCTACGTCTACTCAATGAGAGTCACTTTTGTTCATCACAATGAACGAGTAAATCTTGAGGTTATCCGCTTATCGAAGACAAGTTTTGATCCTGGTTCTGCAACGCCTTCTTTTTTCACATTGTGAAGAGATATGATAGTTGGGATAATTCAAGTTGGCTGTTGATTCAAAAATGGACTGAATCACTTAATAGACATTACTTTTGATTTGTCTCGCTTTTGGAAGGCTCAGCATCATATGCTTTGCAAGACATATGCTGTTTATTGGTTGCTTCAAAGTCCTATTTTTCAAAATTCGATTTTGAATCAAGGTAACTTTTTTTGAAATTATCGTTGAATGCAATGAGTTGTGTTATATTCTGTAGCTCTTCAGCAGTTTGATGCATACAGAAAGATTATTGCAGTAGTAACGAGAAAAGTCTTCTAGTCAAAATCTTTTCTAACACCTAAACTTTCAGATATCATGACCTGATCTGAAGGATAAGTCAAGGACTGCTCGTTGTGTAGTCAATAGACGGATGAGCAGTACTGATGCCTTGGAAATCAACGAGTTTCTTCATAAAATTATTCTTGTGGAAAAATTCCTAGGAACCCTTTTTTCGCACTCTGAAGTGGGAGATAATGTATTTTTTGAAGTTTTTGGCTTTTTTTCTGATAATGAGTGTTCTAGGCCTAATCTCACTCCGTAGAGGGAAGGTTCCGCAATTGCACAGCTCTTACGAATCTTATGCGACTCATGGCCACAACGACAGGTTACGTTTATGCTGAAAAATTGTGAGCTCCAAAAAGTTTTTAAATTTGTATCTTGTTGAGTATTTTGTAGCACAAGTCCCAATGAACATAAAACTGGCAGAGGCACTATTAGCTGCCCCACTTGCGCGACGTAAGCTCTCCCCAATGTTCCGCTACTCATCGAGCGACAAGGGGAGCTCTGTGTGTGGCAGTTTGCCTTACAAGAGTATAGTCAGAAGTCGAAGTGGCTAATGCAAACAAGTGCATACATCTCGATGCAGCATACGAAGCTGACTTCAAATCTGTCTTCCATATCTGCTGAACGCCTTTGTAGGCGATGTTTTGAGCAGTTTTATGCGAAAAATCGTACACAGAAATTACGAAATCAACCACATTATTGCCCTTCCAGCACACCTTTAGCTACTGGTTATATGAAGTAACCTAGCTGCTTTTTTTGGCCCAGCAACGAGCCAAACATGGCACTGACCCAATTCACACGTTGTACGTCCAAGCATACGATTTCCTAGCAGATTAATGACCTTAAATGGCTTACAACTTCGTCCGCAAAGGTGCTCAGCATATAAGCAAGACAGTTTTGAAGTCAGCGTTGTGACCAAACCCCGGGTACGCCACTGCTTTGAGCATATTGTCAAAATAAGCTTATCGTGTAGTTAACAAGTTTATACTTGTAATGTGACTGGTATAGGACTTGGTATTTGAAAACAGAAAGGAACAATTCAAGCTTGTTTAGACCACGCGTGCAAAGCAGTTTCGAGTTTTTAAGTCAAACAATGAATGATAGAATTGTGCTATGCTTCGGAGGGGGAGGGGAGGGAGAGAGTGTATGACAGAATTTTTATGAGGGGAAGGGGGGGGGGGGCGTTGATTGGATGGTCCTTCAAACTAGTCAGGCTTCAAAGAAAGCAAATCAATGAAAACCTCAGCTTGACAAACAACGATTAATCAACCTTTTGCAGGGATAATCCTTAGGAACTGTAAAGGCACTTCATAGAAAACAAGAACGCTGAGACTTGTCAGATTTTCAGATTGTCAGATTCAAATACCTGCATTGCCTTAGGCAAGGGACATACCTCACGCGAATTCAGTCGCCACGCGATCTGGCAATTTGCCAGATGTCTTCAAATTCAATACTGGTAGACCCCAAATGCACAGCATGTATGACTTTCGTAGGTTGATAATGCCCCATCTTCCGTACATTCAGAAACCCCGCACGATGAGTTATGAACATTTGGAATATTGCCAAATCGCGCCGCGACTGAAATCGCATGAGGTATGCCCGAGGCCTTATGCAGCTGCCTGTTTAAACCCAAGCAAATAGATAGAAAGTACGTTTTTACAGCTGCGTTCTTCTACAATGAAAACTGAGTGCATTCTGCTTGCGTTTACGGAAAGTTGTGCAAATCCAGTATATTGATTCACACTTTCGGGAAAATAAACCTGGTCTTTAGACAGTTCCACGGCGCACTCGCTCACAAAATATTTTACTAAAACAAATACAGCCATTAGCGTGCAAATGTTAATGTTCACACAATAAAGGGCAAACTAATTACTAAACTGAGACAACACTGCGCAGCTGTCATTCCGATGAAAGTGACTGGGGTAAAGGCCATCCTAAATCAGGGATCTTGAACTTTGACATCATACGATAGTAGGGCCTCCTATCAAGCCAATGCCAAATTCGCGGATCATATTGCTTCAGAAGCGAGGAAGTCTTTATAATGAAAAGGCGCGAGGACTCCAAGTCGGCACCCCTCCCCCTCCCAGTAACGCCAGCCCATCCGTGTCTGCCCAACCAATCACCGTTCGCCCCGACAACCCGCGAGTTTTTCTGAACGGGGATTGTGAGGTTTACGAAGATTTCGACTTCATATTTGAATCAGGGACATGAGAAGGCCCCGAGAAGACAAAAGCATGAGTTGTGAATCTGGAATGGTGCCCTTAATCGTTGAACTTACAATTAGGCACATGTCCTTTGAATGACCCTCCCCCCATCCCGCCTTTGCACCTGCGTGAACAACCCTTCCTT